CTTACGAGTCCAGTGTCACATTTGAGCGGATGCGAAAGCCAGCTAAGATCATCAGACACAAAATTTCATTGCATTTACGCGTGTTTCCGGCACATTGTGTCTAACAATAAGTTGGCATAGGAAGTAGAGCAAAAATGATGATGGGGTCCGCTGGCCCGCCGCACTGCCCGAGGCTGCTAAATGGGCTACGAGCAAACCGATGACACTAAGCTCAATGTGCTGCGACAAGTGTAATAATCGCTAGCGTATTCGGTGGAGAATGTCGTAGGCCAGACTGACCCTTCAGAGAGTAGCATGTAACATGTAACATGTAACATGTACATACATATTCTTTCATTCATGGCTTGGTGGAGGTTGGAGGTTGGGGGTATTGGTATTCCGTTTAGGGCTGAGCGAACAGAACATTACATTCAATGTACATATGTCAAGGAAGGCTCAAAACTGTTTCTTGACCAGACATACATTACTTTGTGCATTAAGAATGGTGATTGGTAATCTCTCTTGCTGCGGTAATCCCCTCTGGCAAAAAGTGAAGTCAAAAAATAAACGAACATTTTTCGTAAGAATTTCAACGCTCCTAAACTTTTGTTATGTCCTTTCCACTGGACGACTCCCATTGAGGAAAGTACATAAATATGTAGGTACATTTTAGAAATAGATGCTGAACTGCATGGAATCTTTCAAATTTGTATCCCGTTTTTAAATTTGCAAAGAATACGTGGGCTCAATAGGCGAGGCTTTCCGTAGTGATAGGATCTTCATTCCGTTCGAGTGTTGAATAAATGTTTTGCAATATTTGCTTTCATCCTATTGGGAATCAAAAAAGCTCATCGTTCAATATCCGTTCACTATTCACTATCCGACTAACCGACGGTCCATGCTAGCCTTGTAGGTATGGACTTGGCTTAATCAACTTGGCTTTTTATTCCACATTAGATTAGTCACGTCACATTATAGAGACATCATAGTAATTTTTTGGATGGCTCGGCACCAGTTTCCTAATTTCCCAATTTCCCAATTTCCCAATTTGAGATCGACACGTGTTCCGAACAGTCGTCAGTCACATTTTCACCTAGATGGATCCTATTTGCTTGCAAAATTATTGTTGGCCGGATAACCCAGAAGATAATTGCTTTATCCACAAGTACTACGAGGGTCATTACCAAATGTCCTGTCCGCCGGAATTGAAATTGCACTGGTGGCATGGAAACAGGGGTATATCCAAGTATTTGAACATAAAAGGGCATAAGAGGGCAATTGTTTAGTCTTTCTCTGAATAGCGAAACAAATTCGAGATGTGGCAAAGTGTAAGGCAAAAATGAACAAATATAAGCAGGCATAAATAATACATACGTATGTATGTATGTATGTACAAAGTACATACAACCGTCGACAGACAGGACAGGGGTGACGTGACGGATGGCGACCATAGACTGTTGTCCTTCGTAAGCTAAACGCGGTCCAGTCGACTCTTTGTTTGCGGCTTTTTGACCAAACAAGTGCACCATCAACGAACAACAAACAACAAACAAATAATACACACACACACACACAAAGCGCATCCAATAACAAAAACAGCCACAGATACAAAAGCAAAGCTCTCTTTGAACTACGATTGTAAGTGCCCCGCCCCTCCTTGGCTTGGTCCGTTCCGTTCCGTTCCGTTCACAGACCAGACCAGACCAGACCATAGCATTGCAAAAGGGGTCGTCGGTCGGGTCGGTGTCGGTCCCGGTCCTTGTCGGTCCTATTGTGCGCCAAATATGCAAATGAAAGTCCCATTGCCTGTGCATACATACATATGTATATATATGTACATATTTGTTTGTATGTATGTACACAGGTACATGCAGGTGTGAGCTAATAGTGGCCTCTTCTAATGATTTTGTGATATTTTATTCAGTTTAGCAAAAACAACGTGTAATACGTTAATGAATACGTTGATGAAATTGATGATGATGCTTCTTCGATCGTTTGACTCTCCTCAGCACTGGCACTGGGCAGGCGATCGATCGATCGGAAACGACTTGGAATCCATCCTTTCGTTTTCTTTCAATTTGTAAAGTGGTAAGCAGCCTTTTAAAAAAAGAAAACTCCCATTGGATTCCACCACCGTAGTGTTGCTGTTGCTGTTGGTGTTGGTGTTGGTGGTGGTCATGTCGGTCCTTTCGGGTTCGGTTCAACCAAATTCATTTTTAATGCCAGCACGTGCGTGGGTCTGGGCCGCCGCATTAAGGCTACTGCCGAAGGCTCGTAAACAATGCTGGCCGCAGTCAATAGAATTGAGCAGTAGCCGCATGTCTTTGCAGTGGAGTGGAGTGGAGTGGAGTGGTTAGGACTTAGGACCCCAATTGAAAATTCATTATTGCGCCAGGCGCTTTCTTTTTATGTGTTGTGTGTTGTGGGTTGTGTGTTGTGGCGTGCTGTTTGCCGATGATGTTTTGCGGTGCTTAAAAAAGGAAAGAATAATATTTATTGTATGCACCTTGAAGCACACACCAACAGACCAACACACCAACCAATCAACCAATCAACCACGTGCCTACTTAGTGGAATCAGACTCAACTGCCGTGCAGGGACGTTACGCTACAGCGTCCGTCCTGCGTTCAGTTCAGCGGAGCTGACAGCGGTCGTCGTTGCCGTTGTCGCGCGCCCTGAATGTACATACTTATCGGAGGGCTAAGCTAAGGTATGGTATGGTGTGGTATGGAATGGTATGGAATGAAAAATTGAGCATCGGATGATAATGATAAATGGTCCAGAGCAGAGGAATGGAATGGGATCAGTTTGGAAATCATTTGAAAACAACACACAAGCCAATAGGCGAATACTCTAGAAATTGTACATGCATACATACATACATACATATGTATGTACATACATACATATGTATGTACATACATACATATGTGCAGTACTGCAGTAGCTTAACTAAACTGAGAAAACTGAGAAAAGCTTGCAATTATAGAATCACCGACTAGTGATGGGGTGAACTACTCCTACAGACACATACATATGTACATATGTACATACATACATACATATGTGCATATGTATGTAGTACATGAGTAACTCAGTGTCTGTTGGTTCGGGAATTTACTCATGACTTGGTAAGTCAACTCCACTCCACGCCACTCCACTCCAATTGTTTGCTAGTGCATCATTGGCAATACACCAAAGCAGCGACTCTCTATATGTATACTTATATGTGTATGTACATATGTATATGTATATCCTAACATCCGGCAGTCGGGCCAGAGCGTCCTAGTGCGTTCAGGAGGGTGGGGAGAGGGGCGGGAAAGACGCTTTTATTGGATGTATGGACATGGGCTGTTATTGTTTCGCATTTATATGTTTGTGTGTTTGGGCACTCGCCGTAACTAATTTATTTATTTATTTATTTCGTATTTTCGGTTTTCTGTCACGGGGCCCCACTACTCCACGCACTCAAACCCCACCACCACCCCCACCCACGACAAGTGTGTATTTTCGGAAATTCGAATGTACTTACACATTTGTACAAACTAACATACGCCACGCCACGCCACGCTATATATGTACATATGTATGTGCATATATGTATGTAATATGCTGTGTGTGGGTCTATGCATATGTATTCATATATAAATATTGATATTTAAATACAACAACAACAACAAAAACAACAACAACGACCACAATCCCACAATAACAGCACAGCTAAACCGAAAACCCGACAAAAAGGAGAGAAATCCATTGAAGTGAATTTGCGGAAGCTATTTGTAAGTGTACAAGTCAATATTTGTATTTCCCTGCGACGGTATGTGCACATATTTATACATACATATGTATGTACGCACACACACATACAATACATATGCACTTGCCAGCAGTTGCCAAAAGGCGCGCGCTCGGTATCGTCATCTTGGCAAGGGGAGCGGAGCGGAGCGGAGCACTGTACATCACATCCTCGTCTGTGTTGGAGTCGCAGTAGAGCGGAAGTCATCATTATAAATAAAATTTCAGTTCAAAGCGAATCGGAAAAACAATCATTTCTTCTTATGCATACGACACGATACGATACGTTTGTAAAGGGGTGGGGGGGGAGGCGGGAAAGGGACTGGAAGTAGTGCTTAAACTCGAGCTCTCAGGGATCTATGTAGGTTGCGGAGGGTGCAGGATGCAGGGTAACTATTCTGACGAAACTTAGACTTTAAGGTCGAAACTGATATAAAAACAGTATGCAAAGTTTGACATTTTATTCAAAACGATACGTAACTATGTTAACATTTCGAATGTCAAAAAATCACCTTTGAAGTTGAAGTCATTTACATATGTACGTCAAACGAACCATGTCCGACCGCCAAATACTTTCTGCACCTGAATTCTTGACAAATCGACAAAGATGATCATCAGTATGGAATTCCCGTAGATGGAGAGGTGAAGGAGGACGCATTTCAATTGACAGAATTCTTAAGAAAAACTAATTTCCATCCAACCAAAGTTCTGAATATAACGGAGCTTGAGGGCGCCGTTGCATAATTTCGCCCCGGGCCCAAAATGTTTCCTGACACGGCCCTGCATGTATGCACATACATTTGTATACTCGTATCGTATATACTCGATTTATACTTAGATCAGTATTGTCCCTCGTTGCGGGTGGGGTGGGTCCCTGTCCTGTCGCGAGTTCTTGGCTCTTAGTATACTTTTTTTGCTATGATTATACAAATGGTAATTTGCTGTGATTATTATCAGCCTCAGCCTCAGCCTCTCCTAGTATGTACAATGTACAATAACATACTGTTAGCATCAGTGGGGTAGGGTAGGTTGTTAGCATCAGTAAATATAAATATGCACAGATTCATGCTACAAAAAATAGTTTTAAGGTAATATTCCTACACCTTATTTAGATGGATGGAATAAACATATATCTTATTATGTACACACACACACACACACACACATATGTACATAGGGATGCATATAACACTAAATAGTTGTTTTTTTTCAAATTGTTTCAGCATGTCAGGAAAGCGAAAATCGCCCCCAAACAAGTTTGATGGCAAGTCCAAGAGAAGCGTTAAAGGATCGGAATTTCTACTGACTGAACGGCCGAGCGGTATCACAGAAAACGGTCCCTTGACTATTGGCAAGATGCAGCAGCAGCTGTTCAACAAAAATGGAAACGAAGGATCAGGGTCGACCGTTACCATAAGGGATACGGATACGGAAATGTGCTCGAGTATGGTGTCGACCAGTGACTACGAAAATACTGACCAGGACACCGATTCAAGGAGTTCCAGCACATCGGACAGTTCGAACGAGTCGGATGTCAATAGAAGAAGCACCCATGTAAGTTCCCAGCGCCGGGGGCCCAATGAATGAAATGAATAATGAGATATTTTACAGTCAACTCGATACATATTAGCACAAAAGTCGGACTCATGCGCAAGATACACTAAGAAGGCGAAGAAGGCGAAGAAGGCGCGCCTGAGGAATGGAACTGACGATGCGGGAGTCTTCATGTGCCGCAACGAGCAATTGAACGTTTCGAACGGCTCCGAAACTCCAAGGGAGAGAGTTGACGGTGTGGGCACCGCCTCGATCCATCGGCTTGAAGATCCGATGCGAAAGGACGATGACGTCGCTGCACCTCAGCATAGGAAAGTGATTAAGCAAGAGCACGTCTCCAATGTTGATATTGATGCTGGCCGTGCGTCAGAGCTGTTGATTCCTGCCCAACAAAAAGAAGATGTCGAGATGGAAAAGTTAAATCAAACTTCACCGAGCCCCGAAGCTATTTCAGAAGAGAGAAGTCCGCCTACGTCCTCGGCAGCAGCCCCGTTTCTTTCAATTTACGGAACAGATACTTCTTCGGAGTACTCTGCCATGCCCAAGCCAAGTTTTTCACAAAGGTAGGTCCAGGCCCGCCCCCACCCAAATATGATGCTGCATAATGCATACCCACTAAATACGAAAATTAAGCAGATCAAATATTTATTCATCGATTTGACTTGAAAGCGAGGCCACTATGTACACTCTGTACTCTGTCATCCGGTGAGCCACAAAGTGCAAAATCAGCCTTCAATGATTACCAGATTTCAGTAGCTTCCTTTTTGGCAAATTGGCAAATCTAATGCCATTAAAAATGCACACCAAAACTAGCAAATAATTTCAGGGCAAGGATGGCGAACTGTAGCTTAATCGAACGACCCAACCCGACCCGACCCGCCGCCGGCACGACCACGTCCGCTCCGAAGGGCCATTCCTTCGCCCTCGATGCTCGAATATGAGCTTACTCTCTTGAATTGTTGCTAAATAATTGAATACCACGAACGGAAATAGAGAATAAACTTACAGCAACAAATTGTGAGTATCTATGACCACAGGACCAATATCCGCACTGACAATCCTGGCGAGATTACCCGTATCCGTATGTACCCGTGATATGAGCCATATTCAAAATTGCACTCATGCAAGCTCCGCTCCGCTCCGTGGACTCCGCTCACTCGGACAGATAACAAAACGAACCGAACCGAACCGAACCAAAACGAACCTGCTGGATTTCTCTTTAGGATTGTCCGACTTGTCTCCATAGCTGTGGATAGATTTGATACTGATATACATCTGGGTACCGTTGAGGATGACATTGATTCTGAAAACTTTCTCTCAACGGATAGAATGCTGCATTTCCAATCCCTTTGGGGTTTGAGCGCTGAGCCGTCCTTTCATAGCTCTGATATAATGATATGTTTTTGTTGCGGCCAAATATTTGCGGTCTTTCAAGAAAACAATCAGGAGGTGGAGGCCAAATAAATCTTTCAACTAATCACGGTTGAAAGTAACTTAATATCAAAAAAAAATAAAATAAAATAAAATAAATAATGCGGTGGTAGTTGGATCTAAAAACGGTTTTAATATGTGTACCAATGCCCGCCTAAGCCTTGTCTTCGATCGTTTCAGAGAACACTCCGTGCTGTCTGGCTGCATCCGTGAGGACCGAACATATGAAAAGGATCACACGGTGTCCGAAATGATACGACAACTTCAACTGATTAGAAGTCGCTTGCTCACTCAGGCAAGTAAAGTAACAGTGCGGCGCGATTATTTTTTTGTTTTTTTTTTATATTTGATTACGTTGCCGGAGCCGCTAGCCGGTAGCCGGTAGCCGCTAGCCTAACCCTATCATGCTCAGGAGGTGGTCTGTCCATAATGCCCCCAGTCGCAACCCAGAAACTAACCTTTGTGTCACAGTCATACGATGTGAATTCATTTGATTTGAAAGAGAACAGAACCCCCCCATACCCAACCACTTTGGTATTCTCACAAAAAAGCAATTTATTGTAAATGTATTTATTTCGATGCGCAAGAATTGCCAAAGCCTGGCCAGAGTCAATATGCAGATGAAATTTAAGGCCTTTTCATGTAGCACTCAGCTCCGGCGGGCAAAAGAGCGGAGAGTGAATCACGTATCTCTACATCTACATCTACATCTACATCCCTGCAGGTGACAATTGCAAATTAGCATACACAAATTTAGGCCTGTACGAGTAAGTAGTCACGTATTGAGACTCGATCCCGACTCCAGCAAGAAGGGGTCTACGAGTGCGACGACTGGACTGATTCAGTACTCCGATCCTCCCCATATACATATGTACATATTATTACTATAATAATATTATTGCAATTGCAATCAGATATGTAGTTTTTATGAAACTTACCATCCGTGTGGTACATATATGTATATCGTATAGAGATACATATACATATCACGTATGTACATACATACATACATATGTACTTAATATGTAAATGCTTCGGTGGGCGAGGCGAGGCGAGCGTCCTCTAAACTCCTCATTTCTTTCTTTTTTGGTTTTTATTTTTCTTTCCATTCCAGTCCTTTCATTTTTTGAATTTCCCCGGCTGTTGCATACAAATTTGTATTATTCTTTCCTACTTCCTTTATTCACAGCTTGTTTCATTGTGTGGGAGAGGACCATTCTGTGCACATTCACTTTACTTTTTGTACTTCCTTTGCGATTTTCTATGCTATGTTAAATTTTCTTTTGAATCGCTTTTGTACTGTGCTTTCCATTCAAGCCCAGAACAATAAGCTTTCCTTTATTCTGAGGCCTCTGCCGTCTGCCTTCTCCCCCCCGCCCTCGCCCTCGCCCATTCGCCTTTATGTAATGGCCGGCCGGCTGGCTGGCCACACAGCACAGCCATTGCCGCCGCGGCCATAGAAATAGCAATAGGAGTAGCAGTAGCAGTAGCAACAGCAACAGCATTGGCACATAGACGATAGATAATAGATACCACACCATAGCTGAGGAACCTCCCATTCTCATAGCAGCTATCTTCAAAACTTATGGGGCTTGGCTTGTTGGCTTTCGTATTCATGCATATGTACACATGTATGTATGTACATATATGTACATATGTACTCTGCTTAGTTTACATACATACATATGTATACATATGTATACATATGGACATATGAATACGTATTTGGATAAAACACAGGTGCCAATACACGTGTACATATCTACATATGTATGTGTGTGTGTACCATCAAAAGACAAAAGACATTTATTGCGTAAAATCTGGCTCGTGTCATCTGTTTTGTTTCGGTATCGTTCGGATATTGTACCACCCCCCACCCCCCAACCAACACCCACACCCACACCCCAAGGTAGTAGGTAGTAGGTATACTTACTTATGCATATGCATATATGTATGTATGTACTCTATATATGTATGTATGTACATAGATGGGCAGCACAGCGGTTAAATTAAAGACCAAATCGCCTGAGAACTGTAGCGTAAGCGTGAGCTAGCAGATCTGTAACGTGACAATGAGCGGGAAACTTCTGCTGGCCTGGCCTGGCCTGGGCTGGCCTGGCCTGGGCTTAGGCTCAGCTTGGCTAATCGGCTTGGAATCACGCTAATGTGATGTTTATCTGCCAAATATTTCGTTACGGAAACAGGGGATGATTGACGAGGATGAGGATGAGGATGACGAACACTGATGATTACCTTCCCATTGTCATTGCCCAAAATGTCTAATAAAATCTGCATTTTCCGGTTCGTGTTCGGGGGTAGCTTGCTGCTCCTTCGCCCAGTGGCCTGGGTGAAGCAATCACATCGCCGCCGCAATACATAATTCCAGTGAGAGATACTATCTCGGTGTTAAGTGCACAGTTCAAAAGGTTCTCATTAAAAGCACATTATCACACATGGCTCAGCCTCTTCCTCTCCCTCTCCCTCTACCTCTACCTCAAAAGGAGTGGCTCTTCTTATACCCCACAGTCGTAAGGTAAAAGGGTGTATCCACACACACCGTTCTATCGAGTCCCAAGTAGCACCCAAATTAATTGGAACCAAGAGTCCGCTCAGGCTACATACATATGTATGTACATATGTACTTACATACCATTTAAAAAAAAAAAACATTCATATTCAATTTTACAATATTATTTTATTCTCGATCTTTGTGAGCCGCGGCAGGGATGGGAAGTGTTACACAGATCCACTGCCACCACAAGACTAATACGTACATATATATGTACATATGTATGTATGGATATGGGCAGATCCATATCTATTTGGTGTTACTATTTTAGTAAGAAGTGGGTTTGGTTTCGAGGTCGTATGTACATACGTATGTATGTAATTACTACATGTACACTAGTACTATGTACATATATTATCTGCCGAATAATAGTTTTCGGATCGGTTCGGTACATAATAATAACAATATAATTTCAATAAATCTGATTCCAATAGAAGAATTTTGAAATTTTGTAGAATTTTGTACGCTTAGCTGTGATTCTGTCGCTCTAAATTTAAATATGATTTGCTTGCCTGATTTCCATGACTTCCGCCTGGAAGAAGACGCTGCAGTGATCTGTGATCGGTGATCTGTGATCGGTGATCGTGATCTGATGAGTGCCGTGCCTTATATTTACTTATGTAGATTCCGTCTCCGACCTTGTTGCCCAGCCTCGATCCCTCTGTATGGATGTTTGCTGGTAGCGCTGTAACTCCGTAGAGTAGAATGTACGGAAGTATGCTTACAAATGAATATGGAAATGTATATAAATACCTAAATACATGTACATGGGAATATGCATGTGAGTAAATGCGAAAATGTGCCATCATGGCCGTGCAGGCCTCCCTCTGCTTGCACTCCACTCCACGCATCTCCATGCGCATTGCAAATCACACCGGAAATGCATTTGAAAATTTGCCTACCCTACAAATATTCTTATATTAATCAAAACGTGCGGAATGAAAAGTAGCAAAAGACAGAGAGTTCTATTTTTGAAATAAAAATTTATGAATGAAAACAGAAATTCATACGATACATGCGATAGGATGCGCTGCATCCATTGCAAACTTTCTTCATCGGTTGCGCCACATTAAACAGGGGAAGCATATATGTACATACATACATACATACATATATGTACATATGTACATATGTATGTATTCTCCGAGATCGAGTCGTAGATTCGCTTTCGCAATTAATTGCAAAAAATGTCAATTATTTATAAAAAAAAAAACCGATATCGAAGCCAGTTAAATGTATGAACATTATGGCTATCTGTACACATACAAGTACATTTACATGTATGTACATACATATGGTTATGTACACGTTAAGTGGATGTACATTGGCGGGGGAGAAGAGCTAATTGATGGTATTTACGATACATTAAATATTAAATTCGCAATCATCTCCGTAAGGGAATCGACGATTCGCAGTGTCTCGGATAAGCGATCGCATACGGTGAAAATAAAATATATGTATGTACACTGTGTGCATATGTTTGCACGTACATCGAGAATCTAGATTGTAGAAGAGCACACATAAAATATGAACAATATGCTGTTGAAATGTTTCTATATATTCTATATAAATACATGTGTATTTATATACATACGTACGTAGAGCCCATCCATTCCTTCCCTTCCCCATCCCCATCCTCATCCACATCCCCGTCCCCATCCCACACCTCATTCTCATCCTCATTCCCACTCGCATCGCCATCCATCCAATCTACGAGCCGAGCCCATTCATGGTGTGAGTGCGAGTGTGAGTGTGAGTGTGGGTGGTGGGTGTGAGTGTAGTGTAGTGTGTAGTGTGGAACGGAACATCTCTCATATAAATTGATAGGCCAGTTCATATTTTATCCGCACGACAACGTCGAAATGCCCAACTCATCCATAAATGTCGTAAAATTCATAAATATTGCTGTAAAATGTTCATTGTCTCCTCTCCTCCGACGATAAGAGTGATTTAGGTCATTTTAAATTTTGAATTCTTTTGAATTCTTTTGAATTCTTGCGTGGGTTCTGCGTAGTTTCATCCAGAGATCGCTCCCCCCACACCACACACCAAAAAAGCCAAAATCAAACCCATACAACACACATATTAATATACATACATACATATGTACATAGTATGTGTGCACATGTGGATGGATTGGGTGAACTGCGCCATTGAATCACTATCGATTGCCTCCGACGCCTGAAAGAGGGATTATAAAAATAAAAGCTTTCGAGCAAATGTAGATAGATTTCTGGATACATATTCTAGAGTCTAGATATTAAAGGCTATTCCACAGCGACATCAAACGTAGGCTACGGAAGAATAAAAGGCAACAATAAGAGTCTCTGTTGCTTAGTATAGCTCACCAGAACTAGTTAGTTTATACATACACACATAAACATGCATACACATATATTATGATTTACGATACAGCATGCGATTCCCATTATCCCTTAACCCCATCTGTGGCTCTTGCTATGGCTTCAGCCAGCCGTGTCCACCCATCAACTTTGTACAGAACAGATCGTCACAGCCACATACATACGAGCCGCCACGCGTATGCCACACGTATGCCACACGCCACACGCCACACCTCAGATGCGTGATGATGACGCCCTCCTCTTCCTTCTCCTCCGCAGATCCGTGTGGAAAGTCTGATATTATATTTATAAGGCGTCTTAATGAAGTGAGAAATGTTTTACCAAAGAAGAGCAGAGGCCGTCAATTCTTTTTCAGGCAGAGTC